ATCATGGCATGTTTGGATGGCATTTTTTTTGTTTGTTTTGTTTTGTTTTGTTTTTAATCCACATCAAGTCTCATTAGGAACATTGGTCATGTTTTAAACTAAAGGCAAGACACTTTATAATTCGATCTTTTTTATATGCCAGTCGCAGCAGCTCTTTCATTTTCAATATAATGTTATTCTCTATTGAGTCCTAAGGCAGAAGTCTTGTCATTGAACACATGTGTGTGGGTGGCTGCTGTGTTGCAAGTGCAATCAATTAATTGACACACTACAACTGAAATGGTTCTGCTTGCTCCATCCCCAGTTTTCCGGCAGAATTGGTCTTGTCAGTGACTTTATGTTGGAGACTCACAAGGTAAAGGTACTTGTTAAGTCTGATTTGGCAACTTACTGTCTCTACACAGGACCTTTCCTGGATCCCTGTACCCAGGCCTGGCTTTTTCAGCCGAGAACCCACCTCCTCCCTGAAAGGACAGGCCCCTCTAAGTTCGCTTGCTCCATGCTCATGCAGCCATGGCTCTGTCTCTGCAGATGGTGCCTCTGGTCGTGCAGACAGCAGGTCTCCCCTTCCCTGTGGACAGTCTCATAACCGAGGCTCTGATGTGAAATCTGAGGTGAGGCAGTCATAGCAAGATGCCACCCCCTCCCCCTTACCTACCAAAGTGCCTGGCCCTGAGATCCAGGAGGAAAAGTTGAGAACAGTATCACCACCAGAGAATAACAGTCCAGACATTTACTGACTCAAAAAAGCTTCAGAGATAGTAGCTTTAGTTGTGGTTGCTATTCAGATGTCATGGGAGGAGAGCTGCACTCCAGACTCCGGACTAGGAAGCAGAGGACCCCACTCAGTAGCTTCTTCCTCAAAGAAGCAGTACCTCCCTTTGTCCTTTTATATTAATGTACTTTCTCGAATGATCTTCGATGCTCCTCATTCCTGCTGATGTTTTAAGAGACATTGGAGTGGGGGACACTCCATTCAAGTCACCTTTCCGCAGATGGGTTTCCAATGATCCAAGGCCACATCCCAGGCAGGGCATCTGGTGTCTGTAGCTCAGACAATTACTGCTCCTGATAAATCGCCATGAGTTCCAAGGTTACTGCTGTCATATCGCATTCTCTGACTATTTTCCAGGTACCTCCCCACTCCCTCACCAAATTTACACCCACAAGCCTCAACCCATTAGACTCCATTCTCCTGTGGCATCCAAATCAGTTTTCTGGCAAAACACACTGGGGAGAGCTAAGCCAGTATGGCACCTGAATCACCAGATACTATAAACAAACAAACTAATAAACAAATATATAAATGTCAGTGAATGAAAATCTTTGAAGCCCTGGAGTGAGAGATAAAGGTAGGGATTTCACTTCCAAACCTCTGCAGATTCTCACAAGGTACATCCCAGTGGCAGACTTGGGCTTAAGGGTTACTTGAGGGTGGGACACACTCTAAACTGCTCAACAGTTGGTTCCTGAAGGGGAGGGAGTGATGGTGAGCTCCCATCCCTGGATAAATAAGTACAAACAACCTCCTAATGGGGATGTTGCAGAAAAATAATTAAACCTCAAATGGGTAGTTGGATTAGCAAATCTTCAGGGTCCCTTTCAACCCTGGGATTTTATGAGATTCTTGAGGAAGGAAAAAGAGAGAGGCAGAAGGAAAAAGAGACCAGAGAGGAGAGAGGGGAAGGAAATGAAAGAACACAATTTAAAAGGAGACAAGAAGAAGGCCAGATGCTGGGGGGACCCTCAGACAGGAGGTCCAGACGGAAGTGGGAGTGTCCTAAGAAGGCGGGTGTCCAATGGGCAGTCAGTGCAGCGCGGTGGCCTCCTTCCACCTCCAGCGTGAACCCATTGCTGTCCTGTGGGAGAGCCTCTGGGCCCAGCCTTGCTCAGGGAGCATGAGGCCTAGCTGAACAATATGTGTTCATCCTTAAAAAGCTCTGCCCAGGACCAAGTAGTGTCAGAACTCTGCACATTCCTGTGGGGGAACTCCCGATCCTAGGGGGTGGGAAGATCTCCAGGAGAGTTTCCACTCATTAGGACAGTGGGGACAGGAAGGATCACTTCTTCCCCTTTCCCCCCATTCCTATGACCAGAGTGCTGGGTTGGGCCAAAAAAAGCACTTTAGGGACCCAGCCAGGCCTGTGCCTAAAAGCAATCATGTGGGTGGATTTTTAAACCAGTCACAGGAATTGAGTCAGTCTCTGCTTCCTGCTCAAAGGCAGCATTTTCAGGTGGAAAAAAGTTCTTTTCCCAAAAGCCTATATTTCTGAGCTGTGTCCCTGACAGTGGGTTGGCTACAGGGGCAGGGCTCAGGCTGTGGCTCTGGGAAGGGAGTTTTTCCCTAAGAGAGCTTTGCTGGTCTGGGAAGGGAACCCAGGCTCCAGCCCTGGGAAGTGTCATAGTCACCACCTCTGCCCGGAGACAGGCTTGGATAGCTTGCTGGTGTCTGGAGCTGGGCCTGGTCCAATTGGGAAGACCTGGCACCCGCAGAGAGAGTAGAGATGTAATCTTCATCTGCTCCCTTCATTTCTATTCCTTTGCTCTTCTGTCTCCCTTCCTGGCTTCACTCCCTGTCCTAAGGGAAGATTCAGCTGAAACACACAGACAGCCCAAGGACAGCACTTTAGGCTGATCCAGATGCAGAGCAGGCATCCGCTGTGGATCCGCCCCTTTGTCTCTCCTGTTCCGCACCCAGGAAGCCCCATTTCTGAGATTATGAAATCAGTGTGCTTTCGACCTGATTCCACATGTGCACCCATCTTAGACCATCAGGCTGCCTCAGGCATCCTGACGGTTGTCTGAGCACCATTCACTGAGGGTCACCGCTCCTCGCCGCTCCTCACCGCTCCTCGCCGCTCCTCGCCACCCCCCCGCCCCCCCCCCGCCCCCCCCGCTGGTGCACAGACACCAGGCTCCTGGGCTTAAAGGCATCAAGTTGTTCTGTGGAACCAGCCTTGCCAGGCTGTCCCTTTTTTGCTCTCCCTCATTTGCCTGCTCTGTCATTTGTTATTTGTGACGTCTTTTGTGCAAGCCACAGCGCTGTTGCCCTGTGAATCTCTCCACTGGCTCCTCTGAGAACTAAGAGGCTGGTGTTGAACACAAGAACTAGGGAGCGCGCGCGCACACACAGGCAGCCACATCCCGTCACAGAAACAGGGTCAACCCAAGGAGCATTGCGCACACCCCCTGGAGTTTCTCCCGTTCGGTCTGCAGAGACCCACCCTGTCCTTGCCACCAGCCTCTCTCTCCCACGTGTTTTGCCCTTCCGCCCGGGAGCTGGGGGCTCAGGGGACAGGAGCGGGGTGTACACACCGGACAAAAATCACTGGACAGACGAACAAACATGAGATCTCACAAAGGATCCCAACGGGAGGGGCCTCGGAGCTCCTTCCTTCCTCGGTTTCCTCCTGCACTCTTCCCCCCCCCCCCCCGCCCCGCTTCCTCCTTCCGTCCCGGACAAAGAGTCACCAAGCCCAGTTCAAATCGACCGTTTTATTGACTGTGTACATACAGACACACCTTTAGAAAAGGGCGCGGCCCCGGGGCCTCCTCCGCCCCGGGCTGCACTTGTGCTGCGGTTCTAGGACCCGACGACCCAGACGCCCGAAACTCCCCACCCCAGCCCCAGTGTTTGCCTTCAAGCACGAAGAAGGACCCGAGTCAGAGCCGCCGCGCCCCGACTACCCTCCTCCGCCCACCCTCCTTCCCTCCCCGCCCGCCCGCCCGCCCGCCCCGACACCATAAGGTCACACTTTACAGGACACAGACTTTTCTCCTACAGAGCACGCTCGTCTAGGACGACACGCCAGGCAAATACTATTGTCGTGGAAGAAGGGGCGGGGCGGGGCGAAATGAGGAGGACCGAGCGGCGCTTCCCCACCCGGACCGCGCTGCAGGTCACTCGCAGGCTTTGTGCGAAACAGGGCGCGCGGCTCCTCGAGGAACCCGGCCCCCGATACCGCAGTTGCGTCCTCTGGCCCCGGAGCTGCTCAAGATGAGGTCGGAGCCCCGTGCAGCGGTGGAAGCGGAGCTGTCGAGTGCACCAGTCTCCTGAAAACCCAACCCACCCACAACGAAATTGGCTCGGGATCAAACTCGCACCCTCCATGGGAAAAGGGTGCGGTTCCGAGGAGCTTTAAATTAGGTTGAGAAAGCAGAAAAAAACGGACCCTCGCCCCCGAAACACACACATACACATACGCACAATTCTCCCAGAGGCTGGGAAAAGAGTGTTAGCACCAGGCTCGGAATGTTGCTGTCTTTGAAAACAACGAGAATACGAAAATCCAAGCGGGGAGGTGAAAGGCGCCCCGGGCACCCGGATGGGCTCCAGCTGGTCAGAAACGCAGTGGGGCAGGGGGGAGTGGGGGGGGGGGGGGGGGGCGGGGGAGCAGAAGGGTTTGGTTCCCAGTCACAAGGGGGCTTTAAAACTAAAAACTAGGGAGTTGTCTTCAAACCCAGGCTTCTAGGACATGCACCCTGGAAAGCGCAGAGTAGGGGTTGAGGCGGAACCTCGGAGCGCTCCACTGTAGGGACGGACGTCTGTCCGGGGTCCCGGGCCTGGCCCCAAGCCACAGCGTCACCGCCAGATGTTTCCAATGTTTTCTCCCCTTTCCTCTGGCTCCGGGCTCATGATCGGGCGGGCCGCGGGGCAGATGTCGAAGATAACTGCGTGGGAATGGAGAGGCGTGGATTTTGCCTCATGGTCAGCGGTGGTGTCTTATATAGGGAGAGAGGAGCTGGGAACTGTGCTTGCTGGAGGGAATTCAGTGCACAAGGACAATAACGATCGTGAGCGTAGCGGGGCTGGGGGGGGGGCTGGTGAAATTGTTCCACTCCCCACTATAAGTCCCCAGGGGTCACAGTTGGGGGTGGGGGCGGTAAGAGGGCTGAATAATTGGAGGGGGGCATAAATCCTGCCAGGCCCAGATTTCTGCTCCCAGGTGCCCTAGATGGGGATGAAACTGGGCAGGCGGGGCGGGGGGGCGAGGGCGGGGTTAGCCCGCTGTCTGCCTGTAGTTGCCGTTAATCTCCTGGTCAATGTTGACCGCCTCCGCACCCAGGGGCAGCCGGTCACTATACTCTGAGCCCGCCTCAAACTCCTCTTGGTTGGCCTTGGACTGGGACTCCACCAGCGAGCAGGCCGCAAGGCTCTCCTCCCTCTGCAAGTCCCCGCATGGGTCCCCCTGCTCTGCGTCTTCGTCGGGACCCTCCCCGGGGGCCTCCTCTGGCTCGTCACCGCCAGCTTCGCCGCCTGCTGGGTAGCTTTTCTCGGACTCGAGGTAGGAGGCACGCGGGTCGAAGTCGGCGGCGATGCGCTTCTCCATGGGGTCAGGAACCTGCGGCCGCAGGATCAGACGGTAGGGCTTCCCCGGGTGTTTGGCCAGCAGGTGGCAGCAGGCGGCGCCCAGCAGGGGCACGGTGGCCAGGACCAAAAGGAACACACTCACCGCCACGATCACCAGCAGGGAGGGCAACTCCTTTTTGGTGGCGAACACCACTTGTACATGGCAGGCCTCGCCTGCCTGCGCCAGGCACACGGAATAGTTGGTGCCAGGCCGCAGGCCACGGAACCAGTAGGCGTTGACGCCTTCTTCCACGCGCGACCACTGAACTGCCGCGCCTCCCCCCGCCGGGCACAGATAGAGACGCCGCAGGGGCCGCGGCTCAGGCAACCCAACTCCTCCAGCCCCGCCAGGCCCCGGGCTCCAGCGCGCCGCCAGCGGCGTCAGCTGCACCCGCGCCTCCCGCTCAGCCACGTCCAGCGCAATGACGCCCAGCTCAAAGACGTGCGGCTTGAGGTCCGCGCTCTGGTTGAACGCGTGATTGGACACATACCGCGAGGGCTCCCCGTGGCCACAGCGCTGCTCCTCCGCCCGTTCTGCAGAGACCTGGTCTTCCGCCTCCTCTGCTTCTCCAGCCTCCAAAGGCCCCGCCTCCATTTCCCCAAGGATGCTACCCCGGGCTGGGCCTTGGCCTTTGATTTTGCCATCGGACTTGGAGGACAGAACGCTGTTGATCCGGCCTTTGGCTGTGGACTTACGCTCAGAGGTCGGACTCTGCACATCCGTGTCTCCCCCTGCGCTAGGGGCGTGCTTTGAGGGCCCGGCAGCTGCGACCACCACGCGTACTGAGGTGGAGTTGGTGCCCAGCTCGTTGTGGGCACGGCACGTGTAGACGCCTGCCTCTTTGGCACTCAAGAGGGGCACCAACAAGGAGCCGTTTGTTAGAGCCAGGAAGCGTGGGGTAGCTGGGGGCGCGGGCCACGCTGGTGCTGGAGACGGGGTTGGGGCCTCCGTCTGCATCGGCCCATCCCCATCTCCTTCCCCATCTCCTTCCTCGTCCCCATCTTCCATCCCGTCCCTGTAGTCCTCCCCGCTCAGGACCGGCGGCTCTAAGACTATGATGCCACCCGGGATCTGGAGTTGCCATTGAAGGCGGGGCGTGGGGTGTCCTTCGGCGGCACAGTGTAGCATGAGCGCCATGCCGGAGCGCAGGGGGCTGCCCGGAGCCCCAATGGGCGGCTCGGCACTCAGGTGCACACTGGGTGGCTCACAGGACAGAGTGGGCAGGCGGTGCACCGGAACCCCCTGCAGCGCGGTGGGCGTGGCGCACGCAATGGAGTCGATCTCAGGTAGCGAGACTCGCGTGCTCTCGGCCCAGGCTTGCAGCCACACGAGGCTGCAACCGCAATGGAAGGGGTTGTGATAAAGTTGCAGATGTGACAGTGCGCTCAACGCGTCGAAGGTGCCGGGAGCTAGTGTACGCAGCCGATTGTTATTAATGCGCAGGGAGCGCAAGTCGGGCAGCGCACCGAGTGCGTCCCGGGGAAGCGACCCCAAGCGGTTATGGTTCATTTTGAGCAGCTGTAGCGCGCTCAGGTTACGCAGGTCGCTCCATGGGAAGCTGGATATAAGGTTGTGGCTCAGGTCAAGGTTCTTGAGCTGGCTCAGCACCGCCAGCGCGCCGCGCTCCACGATTCGAACCTCGTTGTGCGCCAGCCACAGCGACGTGACCTGCGTGACGTCGGCGAAGGCCCCGCGCCGCAGCACGGTGATCTTGTTGGCAGAAAGACTAAGCGTGGTCACGTTAGCTGGCAGTCCTTCTGGCACCTCGCGAAGCTCCTTGTATGCGCAGTCGGCGAACTGGTGTGCATACTTATCCACGCAGGCGCACGGCTCGGGGCACGCTCCCGCCACTCCTAGCAGCGCGCAGGCCAGCCACACTACTCGCAAGGGCACCATTGCGGATCCTGCAGGTGAAAGCGGGGAAAGACCGGAGGCGATTCACCGAGTCCCACCTTCTTTGCCCTATCAAGCTCTGCCTCCGAAAACCAGTCTTGAGTGGGCCCCAGGGCTCCAGTAACCTCCTCTACACCCAGGTGCCTCTCTTGGGCATGGGTGTAGCACCATAAAAGTCTCCGGAATCAATGCATGCTCCCTCACGAAACCCTGACTTCCTTTTCCAGAGGCCTTCTACCTTGCTCTTTTTTCCGCCTGTCGACCCCTCTCACCCAGGCGCCGGCCCCCCTGCACAGGCTCGGCCGGCAGATTGCCGGTCTGCCTTGGGCTCTGCACAGACCCGTCTGTATTTCTACGCCTTTGTTTAATCCCATGAAAGGGATACACAGAAAGGGTATTTTTTGGTCTGTGACTGGTGTCTCTCCTCGAACCTTTTGTCCCGCATACAACACTGGCACACACGCCCACATAGGAGAACAACAGTACAAACACACGCTCAGGCACCACCATCAAACCGCCAATTTCTGCGGTGGTTTAGAGGTTCACAACGCATTTTGTAGACACACAAACGTAAAGGCACCCAGACACAGAGACAACATACCCTAGAGACCTCATTGTTCTTTCAGCTGAGCCCAGCATTTGCACAGCGTTTCCACAACAGTGCAAAGCGCTTTCCTGTTCATTGTGGGAATTGACAGACACAAGGACACAAGTCCTCACTCAAAACGACCCACACACAGGGACACAAGCCCGCACTGGCACCTGCACACAGCTCTCCGCTGAGACTAAAATCCCAGCGGATTAGCAATGCGGAGAATTTTCAGCGGGTGGCAAGAGCCGTGGGACCCGCAGAAGCCGACTGGCAGACCCCTCAGCGATCCCAACCTGAGCCCCCGCAGCTCCCTCCAGGAGAGAACCAGGGCTGCTCAGTCAGCCTCCCACCTGAGGAAGGAGGTCTTCCCCCTTGCACGGACCAGGAGCATGGGAGGAATGTCACTTAGGGTCCCACCCCGCACCACGGAGCCCAGGCGACTCCCAAGGAAGCAGACGGGTCCCTAGCCCACATGGATGGGGGTGGGGGGGGCTACCACTAGCTACGGAATTAGGAGAAGGTTCAAGATTTTGCCCCTTTTCTGAAGCTCTGTGATGCTCCAGGGACCCTTCTCCTGGCCACACAAACGCACTTATACACGGGCTCGGGGCAGGTCAGGCAGAGCCCCTCCGGCTGGGTTTTGGAAGCCCTTGCTCCCCACTCCACCTTGCTCTCTGGGGAGAGCTCCTCCCCATCCCTCCCCAATCTCACGGGGTCCAGCACCCTAGATGCGGTCTATCCCTCCCCTGGATCGAGGTTGTGGGGCGGTCCGGAAGCTTACCCGCAGCTCTTCTGACTCCCCGTGTGCTGCCTCGGGCGTCAACCCCTCCGCCAGACTTCACGTCTCCGAGCCAGGACGACAGCCCAAGGGCGCATCTGTTGCTGCGACTGCGGGGAGACAGGGGCAAGGGACGGCTAAGTCTGGGGTCCCCCCTGGCCCTGAGGTCCCACTCCAGTTTTTCCTTTCGTGTCTGTTCCCTCCACTTCTCTGGCTGCTGATTAACGAGACTCTGAGCGCGCTCCCGCCTTGGCAGGGACGCGCGGAGCCTCTCCCATCTCCCGCATCGTCTACGTTTGTTAACGCGGTAGAGGCTCTACCCCTCGCCGAGACGCGTTTCGGCCCCCACGCCCACCGCCCTCGGCCGGGCTCTTGCCAGTTCACTGCACCCCATAATCCATGTCCCCCCACGTTTACACACCTGCAGACGTCGCCGCTGGCCCTTATCGCACCGCTCCCCCCACACATCCAAACACCTCACGGACCCTCGCCCCCTCTACACGGTCGGCCTTCGCACGTTAGAATTAGCCACCATCATGTAATAGCGTCGATGTGTTGAGTTCTCACTACCGTTCACACTCATTTTCAAAGGCACACCTTCACCCAGGACACTCGCCACTCGCCGCCTCCCGCACGCACACACATTCACCTGCACTCACCCTTAGAGCGGTCCGCCGGGCCCCGTGAGCTTGGCTGCTAATGGAACGAGAGCCGCTTTTATGTCCCGCAACACGTGAGACAAAACGTCCTGGAGGAATTTGGGGGAAGGCAAGGCGCACAAATAAAGGGGGATCGTGTTTTGTGTTTAAACTCTTTTTGAAAACGCATTTAGTGGAACAGACAGACCTCGAGTGGGACGGGCTGAGCGGCGCGCAGTCGGGCTCGCGGGGACCCTTCCTTCCCGCACCCCCACCCCCTCTTCCCCCGCTAGTCGCCTCCTCCCCAAGCCGCGTTCGACACGATGCATAATTTATAGTGTTAGCAGAGCACCTCACCCTCCCTACCGTTTTTGCCTGAATCTGGGCAGGCACCTGCACAGGTCTCTCTCTGGCCCCCTGCCCCAAGCCTGTCCAATCCGAAGACGAGGACGCAGGGCGCTGCAGGGCGTGCGGGGAAGTGATGTCCCCTCCCCAGCCCACCGCGTACCCTGCCTAGCCTTTTAAGCTCGACTCTTTACGTCTGGTCCTTGGTAGCTAAACTGGCGCTGAAGCCCACGGCCCACGTGGCTGGCTTGTGCGCACCTCCGGGAGGAGCCGGGTGGGGCGCGTGGGTGCCAGGCTCCGCTCCCAGTAAGCCTGCCCGAGCGCACCCAACGCCTCGCCCTCAGTCCTTGACAGCCAGAGGCGAGTGGGACATCGGGGCTGCAGCAGACAACGCTGCCCAAAGGGATGGCTATAAAAATGTCTGCTCCTCTGAGCTCTGTGGGCTGGGAACTTAAGGCTCGAGCACCTCTCTCCCTTTCCTATCTTCGCAGCCTCAGGAGCAAACACACCTCCAGCCTCACACTCGGTTCCCACAGTCTACGCCGCCGTCACCGCCCCGTGTCTCACTCGTTCACACCACACACAGCCGACCTCGACATACGCCGGCACTCTCGCCCCCTGTCTCTGGCGAAACTCCGACATTTCTTTTATCGACAAGGAGGCAGAGACGCATGAGTATGTTAGGCATTGGGCTAAAACCTGATTCCTGTCTGCCTGCATGGCCCGCGGCATGGAGACAGAGCTGCTGGCCAGAATCGGGACATGGGTACAGGATCCCGGACACACGCAAAGCCCTCACGTTCCCCGGTCCTTTGGGGTGGCGCTGGGCTCCCCCAGCCCTCAGCCTGGGTCGTGGGGAGGCTCTGGCAGTAGGTCGATGGCACCAGTGAGGGCCCTCTGTGAAGCTCAATCTCCGGATTTAAATGTGGAGCATTTTAATGAGCTAGGGAGGTGGGGCGGGGGGGGGGGCAGGAGAGAAGTGCTGCATCTAAAGAGATCGCCCGACCCTAGTTCCGAGGATCCTTTGTAAGTTAAATACGAACAAACTGGCGAAGCAAGCTCCTGGTCCCTCCCTCTCTCGGCCTCCTGCCGCCGCTACAGGAGGCCAAGCGGGCTGGGTCCAGCGCATCTCTCTCAGCCCAGAGTTCAGAACCCAGAACTTCATTCCACCTGCGGCTGCACTCCCCACAGCGGACCCAGAGGACGGCGGTGGAGGGGTGAGAGCACCTTGACCCGGTGGTGGGACGGGCAACGGGTCCCCAGTTCGGAAGTGAGTCCCTGCAGTTTGGGCCTGGCCGGGTCAGGGTGTGGCGCAGCCGGCGGACCTGGCACAGCCCCTTTGTCTGCGGAGTAAGGGGGTCTTCCCGGCAGCGTTGCCCACGTCTTGGGAAACTTGGGGAGGCGGCTCAGAAAGCCTGCGCCCGGGAAGGGGGTTCCGGAGGAGGCGGAGGCCCAGCATCGAAGACGGAGAGTGGGGTCCAGATGGCGGGTTCCGGAGCCTTTCTCGGGCGGGGCGGGGCGCCTAGCGCGGAGGCAGGGATTGGGGTTCTGGCGCGAAGGCGCGCGGCTCGTGGACCCTTCGCCCAGTTTCCACCTCTCTTCCGTCCCCCCCAACCCCCAGGAGGCTGACGGAGAGGCGGGCGGGCCGGGGACAACTTGTAAGGGTTCAGGGACTGTAAGACCGAGAGGCTGGGAAGTGGAAGTCAGAATGGTTTCGCTCACTCTCCGCGGAGTGTTTCTCTGGATCTCAGGGACCAGTCCAGCCAGCGTGCCCGGAACCTCTGGGACTCGCTGGCGGAGCAAGAACCCTTTCCTTCGCTTTCCTGCCGGCGCTGCAGAAACCGGAGAAATTTAGCAGGGAGATGGGGCTCCAGGTGTCAGGACCGCGCCTAAGGACGCGGTGGCCACCCAGCGAGGGCGCGGGTTCCCGCGGGGCCCTGTGGTTCCCGCCCACTCTCCAGCGAGCGCTTTTGTTCCCCGAGAGTGCCCTGGGGAAAGACAACCCTTACCCCAGCCTTCGGCCCTGGAGAGCCCAGTGCCTGCCTGCCCCGGCAGCCTAAAGCCCGAGTCGCCCCCGGCAAGTTCCGCGGAGAACCGGGGTGGGAACAAGACTCCGGGTTCAGCTTCCGAGCTCAGCTGGAATATTGAGCGCTTTTCTTGCGCCGCCAGGCGCGCAGGAGCAGTCTAATGACTACACTGTTAATAATGGTACAGTAACCGATGGGCTGGGGAAACCGGAGCTAAGATACCACCCCCACCGCCTCCCACGTCTTTGATCGTTAAAGAAACAGGCCCCTAATCAGGTGGGTGGGAGTAGGTGTGAGCAGGGGAAGGAGATAAGGTTCAAAGCCTACAGCGCGGGGGCCGCGGGGGGTGGTGGGGCGTAGGGAGGGTAGAGGATAGGACCTGTAGAAACCAGGCTAAGGCTTTTAGACTAGGATGGGGTTTGGACCCCAGACAGACCCAGAAGCACAGAGAGGGAGCTCCGGTCAGTTTTTTCCACCCCCCCCCCCCCCGGAACAACCTCTACTGTAGATGTTGCGGAGCCCGACGGTCTGAAGGGTGGGGCGGGTCCAAACCCAGGAAACCTCAATGTGTCCTGCCGAAGCCTGTTCACGCCCGCCCCCTGCCGGACACCACCTGCAGGGCGCCGAGGCCCGGAGCAATGGTTGGGGGTGGGGACGCGGAGAGGACTGCAGCGCCAAGGCCTGCTGCAGCCCCCAGCTCTACAGACTCAATGGGGCAATGTTCTGAAGTGCGGGACTCTTAACCAAGGCACCAAAGCTTTCCTTTCCATGTCCACCCAGCCTAAGTCCCAGGAATCTGCAACCTCCTTACCTGCCTAACACAGGTACAGCCCTCCGCTGTGACCCTACTGTGTTTCCAGCGCCCAGAGCACAATATACGGCGCCCTCTGAATACTTGATGAAGAAATAGTCCCAGGCACGAACCAATGAGCTTATGCCTCCTGGGACAGACTTTCCTCTGCACCTTCTCAATCCTCCCTCGCCTTTGGTTGGGCCCTTTCTCTTAGAGCCCCGTTTGAAGCTCTAGAAAAAGGTCCTCGAGTCTCAATGCCCTATCAAATGTCTGATGTCTGAAAAAGAAAATCTTTTTGGCTCTTAGTGAGGCAAAGTAAACTGCAGTTGAAAGTAATGGGTGTCAGAGTAAGGTTCAGTTGCAACCACCGCACTCAAAGTTGTACTCGCCCTGTATTTAGCATGGCACATGGGTGATTTAATGGATGTGGGAGGGCCTCTGGAAGGAGAGCCAGGCCCCAGGAGGCCACCGAACACACCCAGCATGGCAGCCTGCTCAGGGGACTCTCCCCACAGCTGCCCTACACTCAGTGCTTCCCACCTTTCAGCTCTGTTGTCCTGCCCCCTTACCCCCCCAACACACATTCACACAATGTTTCCAACATTTTCAAAAGCTGCTTTCCTTCTCTAACTTCCATCAGAAAGCCCACTCCTCTGTTTACAAACCCCCTCCCACCTTCCATCTCTCCTTTCCCTAATACACACTCTACAGTGGTTAGGAGGAAAGATGGTAGCGTCAGACTTCACCATGTACTAGCTGTGTGACCTTGGCCAAGTTACTTAACCTCTCTGTGCCCTAGGAAAAAGGTTGTATATAAAAATAAACCCAATTTTATTGGGTTGCTGTGAGGAATAAATGAGTCAATGCATGCAAAATTCTTAGTACCTAGCACTTAGATAGTGCTTAGAAATGAGCTAGTATTTTTCAACAATAACTAGTATTAGCCATCATTATTGCCTTGCAGAGCTGAGTCCTGGTAGGGTGAGATGTTCTGCTGCACATGCCCCCACAGGCTTTTGTCTTACCTCCTGCACAGGGGAAGGACCTTGGCCCTGCCCTCAAATGTCCCTCCTCACACCCTCTCCCTCCACACACACCACGGTACAGGTAGCAATCAGAATTCCTATTAGTATTTGTGAAGATTTCTAGTCTGAGATGCTTCCCTGATTCTGATCCTGTGGCTTTCTGTATGCCATTTTCCAAAGAGGCTTGCAGCTACAGCTTTGGTGGGAGGTTTTTAATTAAAACCACAATCTGTCTAAGTGTTTATTGGGCTCTGTGATTTTAATTATTTTCTAGGGAAAAACAAAAAACTCACATTTATACATGGGAAGACTGTTGATTCAGAGGAAAGCGGCAACCTGTGGCAGTTTGCTGGAGGCAACCTGAAGGAGTTTCCTGAATGGCTCAAATGAAGCTTGACATTATTAATAACCTGGGATCCAGCCTGTGGCCTTCCTCCTAGTGCTTTCATGAAATCAGCATAACTGCTGGCAAAGCCCTTTATTGCCATCGCAATTAACGACAGCTCTTTCTGTGGCATCTCAGGTAATTGTCTTGGTTTGTGCTTGTCCACTCAAGACAGGGAGCCTCTGCCTGTAATAGGCAGCACCCCTGCCCGTGAGGAGCAACATGCACAGCTGTTCTACCCACTGCAGATGGGACTGGCTCTCCCCAGATGGGAGTCCCTCCACAGCAGGGGAAGCAGGGGAGGGAGGGCAGGGAACCATTTCAGATGCTTCATCCGCAGATATCAAAATTCCCGTCTCAAAGTGTTTTAAGTGATTGAGTGTCATCTCACCAGCAGAAGCAGGGCTGGCTTCAGAGCTGATTGACTGAATGACACCAGCAGGCTCAGTTTCTCTCTGTCTCTCTCCTCTGCCAGCCTTAAAGGGTTGCAGCCTGAGACTTGCGTTCCTTGGTGCCACTGGGGGTCTCAGCAGCAGCTGGGGTCCCATGCTTATTGGTAACAGACTAGTAGATAGAGAGACTAGATTCTTTCCAGAAGCCACAGCCTCTCCTTAGGTCTTATCAACACAGACTGGCGTAGGACTCCCCATCTCTGAGCCAATCACTGGCAGAGGGGATAGAATTAATTGGCTTGGGGTAATGATTATCTAGCCCTGAAATGGATGTTGAGGAGTCAATTCCAAGCATGAAATCCCCTTTAAATAGAAGCATTGGAAAACTGCATGATCAAAGTAATCTAATACTGTGTCAAAATGAATTGAAATGAGACTGGCCATCATTACAGTGAACCATATTAGACAACCCCTTATCTGGAGATTAGACCAGTCCTTGTTCACAGTGTGGGGCTAGGATCAGGGCCCAGTGTGTGAGCAGGATTGGGGCTCAGTATGTGAACAGGGCCAGGTCAGTGTATGGGCAGGATCAGAGAGTTCTTTGGATAGGCATGCATACAAACTAGAGGATTGTCTGCTTTCACAGAATTCTTGAAAGGATAAAAATGTGTTCTTGGAAATGTCTGTGCTGGGATCCAAAGCTATTTTCAGAGCAGTGAAAGCTTTGGTTTCCAGTTGGGTATTTATGAGTAGGAGATGTTTGTGAATTCAAAGATGATCCTACATGACTTCACATCCTGAATATGTCACTTGACTCCATATAGCTGAAAAGAGAACTGCTTTATTGTTGAGGTGGAAAACAGAAGGGAGACCTCTATCCTGGTCTTATACCGGGTGGGGAGGCCACCCAAGGCTGCCAGCTGTGCAGACACGCTGTGGGATCTTCAGCATCTCCTTCCAAGTCTCTGCCCTTGCACCGGAAGGAGAATGTGCTGGATGTGCTCTGAGGCCCTTCCAGTGCGGCTATCCTGAGACCTTGGCCCTTTGGTGCTTCAGGGGAAGCCGGTTTGAGGGTGAGTCCAGTGGGCCTCCACCTGGGCTTCCTCCAGAAGGATGTCTTCAGAAAGTCTGAGGACTATTGCTGGCCCTACTCCTCATGCCCCTGGGCAGTTTCTTTGTTTTCCACCCCATCATACTCTGTCCCTGCTTCATCCCTTGAGGTCATCAGCACACCTGGGCCCAGGAGTTAACCCCTCTCCCTAAAACTGCTGCTCATTCTCTGTGGGCAGGAGGAGTCCTCCTGCTATAAAACACTTCCTGAAGGCCCTTCATATGGCAGGATCAGGGCATGTAAGGGGTGATGCCATTAGAGATAAAATCTGGTCACTGTGTAGGCATGTGGACCCAGGAGCTCCCTGGCTGGTGGGGGCATGTAGAAGGGTGACATGACTCTTCTTGCAGTTCTGGCCACTGCTTTCTGCCCTGGGGCCTTCAGTTCTCTGTTGCCTGGTGCCATCAGAGCATGTGGAGAGGGACCACGATAAACACATATTCTGAGACTCATTCACAGCAGAGGACTAGTTCAGGAAGTCTCTGGCTGGCTTGTCCCAGGGAGCTCAGCATAGAAATCACACCTCAGAGTTTGTCCTGATTTAGGCAAGAAAATGGTTTCAGTGAATGCACAACAGGCAGGCATTGGCCAGGGGCCACTCTGGGGATGGAGACTTCCAGGCACTTCCCTCTCTGTGCCTGCAGGCAACCAGTTCCAGTAGCCCAAGGGCCGCTCTGAAGAAAGTTGCAGGTGTGAGCTGTCAGAAGAAACACAGCCTCAAGCCAAGGGATGGGCACACAGAACCAGCCTGCTATGTCACTCATTCCACAAACAGTATTGATAATTGAGTTTCCCCGTGTTGCTGGGGCTGCACTGCCATGTGTGCAGCTGTGAACTGGGCAGAGGGAATCTCGGCCCTCAGAGAGCTCACAGGCTCCGGCATCTCCCAGCATGGTCAGGTCTCCTGTGTGTGAACCTCGGAGCTTCTGGAAGGCTAGCATCCCCAGCACAGGCTCTGTCTGCCCCAACAGGTCACTGAGGGCCATGGCTGCAAAGACAGACTGCACCCACCTGAATGGACAGGGAGCTGTCCAGAGTCACAGGGTGTCAGATCTTGGGGCCTGGAGGTCCTCTATCCTTACTCCTTCACTTTATTGGAGGGAAGACTGAGGCCGAGAAGGAGGTCATAGAGCAGGTGCGAGTGTGGAACGCCCCCAGTGTGCAGCTCCTCTGGGCCAAGACAGGCCAATCTCAGTGGGCATCACTGATCTTGCTGGTTAGAAGACCCTTAAGACTCTCCAATGAGGCCTCTCTGATGGCTGTTTCTAGATGCGCAGGCGGTTTAGTTCAAGTCTGTAGTAGCTCCCTGGATTCCCCCAGAGACCAAGGCTGTGCCTCCATTGAAGAAGCTCTAGTAATAGCATGCCAGCCCCAGCATGCAGCCCCCACAGAGACAGCAGCTCCAGCACCTCCAGCACCTCTAGCACCTCCAGCACCTCCAGCCCCCACAGAGGCAGCCAGTTGGGACAGACGTTTGGAGGCAGTAGAGCCTTCCCCGAGGTGGCATGTTGCAGAGGTGCCTCTAACTGTGCATCTAGGCAAGGCCAGTTTTAATGGTAATGTCTTGGGGACAGCCAGGTACAGTTCGGTGTAAGGGACCCTGGAGCAGGAGATCAAGGTCAGAGGGTTGTACTTGCCTTTCTGCAAGACTCTGAAAGTGTCTCTCTCCTTTCTTGGCCTCAGTTTCTCCTCCTGTGCTGGGGGCTAAATGTCCCCCCGACCCACCCACCTCAGCTAGGACAGATCTGTCACATTTTTGTTCCCCGGGCCTGTCCCTACCAAATCCGACATGAGGAAGGTCCTTCATGCAGTGACCTGCCAGGAGGCGCAACCCCCAGGCATAGCTCTCTGCAACATTTCAAGTGCCCCGAAGAGGTTTTTCAGGAAAGCCAGTGTGGAAGGGTGAACCCGCACAGTGCCTGTAAGCATCTCAGCCTCCTCTCCCCGAGCCCTTATCTCCAGACCCAGCTGGAAACTTGATGTATTTATTTGCTTCTCCCAGGACCTCCTCTGTCTGACCCACATCTCTGCTGGTGCTGAAAGAAAATGACCTTCCTGCAGATGGCTGTCTGGTAGCCAGGTGGGGGCTGAGGGAGGGAGTGCTATAAATCCTCCCAGCCTGCAGGGTGACCTTATCTGGATAGGGGAGACAGTCCAGGAGGCTTAAAGAAATGGAAACAGAGGTACTGGGAGAAGTAGCTGGGGACAGAGTCACCCAGATCCTACACACACCAGAGCCAGGGAAGAGAGGAGAGGGGGAGAAGAGAAAGGATGGGAAAGGGGTGAGAGGAAAGGGGAAGGGGGGCTTCAGCACAGTATTTTCTCCTCTAAGGTGTTGGTTGTATAGTTATTTTTTATTGAGCATTACCAATTTACAAAGTTTAGTGCTTTATGTCGAAGTATGCATTATCACACCCCAGTTTGCATGAGACCAGAAAGACTAAGCAGTTTAACCAAGGTCACGCAGCAGAGCTGGCATTTGAGCCAGGTGCCCTACGAAGCCCATATTGTAACTACTACATGGCACCCTCCCCCACCCCCAGGCAGACACCAGGGTACCCTGTGGGCACTTCCTCCTCGGTCAGCTGGACTTGCTGCGGGATTGGTTTACCAGGGTGTCATCCAGGGGCTTTATGGCTGTAGAACTCCAGGGGAGTCAGCCCTGGGGTAAATTTTGGGCTCTATCTGACCAACAAATTTTATTTTTAAAAAATTTATCTATTTATTTTTAGAGAGAAGGGAAGGGAGGGAGAAAGTGATGGAGAGAAACATCAGTGTGAGAGAGAAACATCAATTGGTTGCCTCTTGCACACCCCCATCTGGAGACCTGGCCTGCAACCCAGGCATGTGCCCTGACAGGGAATTGAACCAGCGACCTTTCTGTTCACAGGCCATACTGAATCCACTGAGCCACACCAGCCAGGGCAACAAACAGTTTAAGACAATCAAATAAATGACACTGAATTTCCCAATATATTCTATTACACTTGTTGGGCTGGCTAGCTTTGTGGAAAATATCTGTGCTTAGCTTTTGCAATCTGCTTGGTTATCAAGTTTGGGATATTTATATTTATAGACTGATTTTAGCATAATCCAGGCAGCTGGTCTTTAGGGAGTTCCTTTGTGCTGAGCTTAAGGAAGTTCCTTGAACCAAGAATGAAGGAATTTTCTCCTCACTTGTCAACAAATGCATTTTGTAAGGGTGAGTAGAGACTCCCGAACTTTGTTTTGTTTTAGGTTTTTGAGGTGTGGAATCAGTAAAAATTCTAGACCCTCCTCTCAATAGAGTTGCCACAGACATCTCCTTTATTCAAGTCCAAAGGGTCTGGAGCTGACACCCGCATTCAGACACAGAAATAATGATGGCACTGCCCTCCTCCCCCAGCCAGCCCCAGGCTCTGCCACCGGGCTCAGGCCAGGACCAAGGCCACCACGCCAGGGAAGCATGTTTTCTTCAGACACCTCTGCCACTGCTCCCTCCCACCTCCCTGCAGCCTGATCCCACCTCCTCCACGCCTGTGAGCTGAGCTCCATGGAGGGGTTAGCACCCCTGACACTCCTGACTTGCATTTTAACTGGGGGTGGGACCTTCCCCCAAACCATCATACATTCTTGACAGGGGCAGTATTATGCCACAGAGAGTAAAACCTGGTTCAAGAAGGCCCAGTGACAATCTTAGATATTCCGGTGGTTTCTGCCCCTCCAGAGGACCGGAGCACGTGAATATTTCATCTGTGTACAAAAGAAGTCAAACATTCTCTATTTGCAGGTGACATGATCTTGTATGTAGAAAATGCTAAAGAATCTGTAGTATATCTGTAGTATTTAAATTTTATTGCAGGGAGCCATGACTAGGAAAAAAATGTCTAAAGAGGCTACTTATGGAGGCAATAGTTGGGGGGGGGCAAGGTTTGAGAAACAGTCTAAAATGAAAAAAATTAAAATTAAAGTAAGTTTAAGTGCTGGGACCACAAGGTAGGTTGTGAGCTTTTGGGGGCCTGAATTTTGCATCTTACGCGACCAGCAGACCAGGCGGGCATGGGAGCGAGAGAGCAGGAAACTGGCTCCCCCAGCACACAGTAATGCGCCTGGCAGTGCGGGCCCCAGGTGGCTCCCCGGGAGACCCGTCCCACCGCGGACTCATCTGTAACGTGGGGAGGAGGATGTAACCACACAGGGCTTTGGGGACACTAAACGAGGTTACCTGTGCTAAATGAGGAAACACCTAGTGTCTAGTTCACCATTATCTTTTAGTCAAGTTAGCTGGGAGCATTAGTCACTTGCTTGCCCCAGCAGCAGTGTCCAACCTGTGGCCGCAGGCCGCATGCGGCGGGAATGGCTATGAGTGCGGCCCAACACAAAATCATAAATTTACCTAAAACCTTTTTTTTGCTCTTCAGTTTTTGTTAGTGTTTGTGTATATAATGTGTAGCCCCCCAAAACTCTTCTTCTTCCAGTTTGGCCCAGAGATCCGAAAGGTGGAACGCCCCTGCTAGCGGCTGTCATGCTCGGTTTTGCCCCTCCCCCTCAGTGAGCTCCTGCAGAACCTCTGCTGGGCGTCTCCAGAGGTGGATGCGGGGCGGGGGCACCGCCCTTGGGGTGCCATTTTGGGGGGTCTTCCTCAGAAACACCTGCTCATCTGTCTGCAGTTTCATGGACTTTTTAGTTGCTAACATGACAAATACCTGTGGCCGAAAAAGTGACTCTAACTCTATTCCTCACTAAATTCCTAACTCCACTCCTAACCTTAATCATCAAATATGACCCTAAATTTGATAAAACCCCAAACCCTAACTTCAGGCCTTGCCCCAACTCCTAACCTCGCCCCATCCCAGTTCTAACCAGGGCCCTCGCCCTTGCTCTATCCCTCATCCATAATCCTCTTCTTAATTCTGACAGTAACTGAGAGTTTCCCAAAATTATGTCACTCACTATCACAGTCACAAGCTTTTCTGTACCCGTGCTCCTTCTGAGCATATAGCTACTTAATAGTTGTCTTTAAATTAGACCTTTAAAGAATCCCACTGTAGAGTCGTTCTGAGCAAGCATATCCCAGAAACAATTAACATTTAAAAAAATGTTTCTCCATGCAATATCTACCTAACTACCTAACGTTATCTCTCACACCGCAGGAAGCAGACCTGGACTCCAAAGCCCACGTGGAACAGCGAGCACCTCCACAGCCAGGCCTGGTGGGGCTGCTGCGCCCTCTGCTGGAAGAGTCTGGGAGCAGCTCTAGTTCATCTCCGCTTCCCTCTGGGCAGGGTCCACAGGGTACTCTCTGACTTGAACTTTGTTGTCATTGGCTGTGGGGTTCCCTTAATTGTGAGTGAACAAAAGTGAGAAAGGATCCCCTTGCTCTAGGCATAAGGGCTGGGTGCCTGGGGTGTGGGGTGGGGACAAGTCTGAAGTCAGAGAAGGAGACAGGAGCAGGGGAGGGGCCGTGCCTGCTGGGAGATTTAGGGTGCAGGGTACATTCTGAGACACAGAGTATTGTCAGAGTTGGGACTAGGAGTCAGAGTGAGTCTAGGGTAGAAATAAGAGTGCGAGTGAGGCAGGCCAGGGCTGGATGAGGGGAGGGCGCAAGGAGGGAGCACCACAGGGCTAGGCACCAGGTAGCAGCTAGGTGTTACACAGGTAGGAGAGCAAGGTTGGCTCCCTTGAGGCTAAAGCAACTTTTTAAGTGACATTCCTGGGGTGTGACTGAGTCCTGGAGCCTCAGGAGGAGGCACTGGAGCAGGGCTGGGTGGGGCTGGGCAGGGCTGTCACAGGAGGTCTGCTTTCTGGCGAGGCCTGCGTGGCTGATGTCCCCTTTCTGGGTGTATGGGGGACACAGAGCCAGCTGCTGTTTAACCACTCGAGGCTGATGCCCCCGCTCTCCTTCCCAGCTCCCTCAGACCCGGGACTCCCACAGTTATCTGCTTTGTGCCAGATCTTGTTCTTCACCCCCCTGAAGACAAGCCCATGTACTTTTTGCTAAGATTTAGTATCTATTTATTTTTCTGTAACTTATAAAGCAATAACACTGTCATCTTGGTTGTCTGTAAAATAAGATCTTACATTTGTGTGATTCTTCACATATTAAAGAGCTATTGGGTTGGCTAAAATGTTCATTTGTTTTTTTCTCTAAGATGGCTCTAGTAGCACTTAGTTGTCTTTAACTTCATTTGAAACAATTGTTAGAGTGTACTGTGACAGCTGTCATATCAGCCTGCATTTTTTAAAAAAATCAAAATTGGTGAAGTTTGTGTAGCTGTTTTAATATTAAAGATTGAAGAAAATACACAACATATTTGGCATATTATGCTTTATTATTTCACAGAAGGTAAAAACACAACTGAAACACAGAGGAAGATCTGTGCAGTGCATGGAGAAGGTGCTGTGTCTGATTGAATGTGTCAATCAGTGTGGTTTGCAAAGTTTTGTCCTGGAGATTTCTTGCTGGATGATGCTCCATGTTTGGGTAGACAAATGGAAGTTGATAGCAATCAAACTGAGACATTAACTGACAAAAATCAATGTTATACCATGTAGGAGAGAGCCAACATACTAAAATATCCAAATCAATAAAGTTATTGGTGAGAATGAAAAATGTGTCTTTTATATTATGGAAAAAACGATATGGACTTCTGAACAAACCTAGTATTTTCCCAGACATTTTTTCTCACTGGTTCATGCAACATCCTATGAGGTAAAAATGCCCTCATCCCGCTTACAGAGTCAGAGGCTGAGCCTGGTGTACCAGACCAGCCGCAGGCCAAACACTCACGGTTAGATGACGTGGACAACCCTGACAGAATTCAAAGACGAAGCACAGATAACATATTTGGACTTGCTCTTAGAGATTAAAACCTCCAGGACTGGAATTTGGGCACCTGGGACAGGGCGAAGGGGTTACGGGTGGTAGCAGTGACCAAATCCCGCTAACTGGCTGCTCACCCAGGCCAGGGGAGAGCTGCCGCCTAGTCTGTGCCCCTGCAGGTACTAGTGTGCATTTCAACGGTGACATCCAAGACGGCAACACATTAGTCACACATTGCTAATATCCCAGGCCCCCCCTACCTGCCTGGTTAAGGGTTTCACCACTTGTGGCTTTGGGACACAGACAGGGCATAAGACGACCCAGCAGAGGACGGAAGTGAAGTTCTGCAGACCTTGGTGTCTGGCTCCTGGCTCCCTCTGGGGGTAATCCTTGAAGCTGGTGCTTCATTCCCTCCACATGGTTCTTCCCTTCAGAGGTAATCCTGGGCAGGCCCACCCTCATTTCCCCACTTGGAATGGGGTGGGAGGGGGTTTTATCCGGGAGGCCCTCAGCACTGAGCAATGAGGGGCTTTCTGCTCAGCTAAGTCCTGGAAGGTACCCAGGAAGAGTAGCTCCCCTTGGCCTGGAAGCACCCCCTTCACAGGCTGCTGCTCAGTGGCTTCTGGGCAGGTGACATCAGGTTTTGAAGATTCATGACTTTATTAAAGGCTGTGAAAGTGGAGAGAGGGCAGAACAGCCTTTGTTACAAAAGCTTTGATGAACTGACCAGAAGGTGACAGGCACTGGGGGACTGGGCTTGAGCTGGAGTCACTAGGCGCTGCTCAGTCCGGGCCAGGCTGCCTTGCAGCTGCTAAGACGATGGCTGCCACAGCCCAGCCGGGGCCCCCGCAGCCATTCTCCCCACCAGCCTATTCCCATCAGGCTTCAGAGGCGGCACCTGCTTTAAGTTGGAACCCTGTTTTAAATGCACTCGAGTTCACTGTTAGAGCAAGTGCTCCCACCATAGCAGCAAGATCCTATGTAATCCCTTAGAGGGCTTTCAGGGAGCCCACCGAATGGGGGCTGGGGGGGCCCACAGACTTCACTCCTGGGACAGGTGAGCCCATGGAGGCTGGGGGTCTGGGCTGCATCCCAGTAGCAATGACCAAGGAACAGGGATGGGAGGAAGGAGGTGACAGTGATTCTGCTAGTCAGAAGGGACAGTTCTGGCCTGCCAGTGTTCTGCTGCTGCCCCTGGTGTGACCACAGGTTGGGAGCCTGAGCGTAGGTCTGGTGGCCAGGCTAGGGTTCAAGAACGAAACCATCTTGTCCACTCCCTCATCAGCCTGTTGTCTGTTTTTTTTTCTTTTTTTAAGATTTTACTTATTTTTTAGAGAGAGGGTAAGGGAGAGAGAAAGAAAGGGAGAGAAACATCAATGTGTGGTTGCCTCTCGTCCCACCTCCCCACACTGGTGACCTGGCCGGCAACCCAGGCATGTGCCCCGAGTGGGAATCGAACCGGTGGCCCTTTGGTTCACAGGCCAGCACTCAGTCCACTGAGCCACACCAACCAGGGCCTGTTGTCTATTCTTAAAACCCTGGAATGGCACAGTTGGATGGGACTCTGAGACTGTCCTGGCCAACCAGCCATTTTATAGGTGGGGTCAAGGGGGCTCAGGTCACATCTGATATACAGAGTCGGGGTGAGGCCAGGGTTTGCTCTGCTGCTCCACACGGCTTCTCTTTCGAGCAGCGATCTACACAGCAGTGGTTCTGGAACTCAGCGGGCACCAGCATCACCCGGACCACCTGTTAAACTAAATAGCCTGCTGGGGCCCACCCCAACGAGTCAGACACTGCAGGTCTTGGGTAGAGGCTGTCGGGAAAACCAAGGTACAAGTCCCTGCACTGCACTGAGCAGCACTGGGCAAGAGGACATTCCTTGACAGGGCAGAGGTGGGCAGTGCAGGCACAGCAACGGGCCATGCGGAGAGGAGTCAGTGGCCTGAGGACCAAGGTGCAAAGCCTTGACTAAAGGGAGGTGTGTGTGTGGCCAGGAGGAAGAAAGCAAGTGTGGAGGGCAGTGGGGACCGGCCTGGGCAGCAGGTTCTGTCCCTGCAGATATGACGCCCTGCAGGGATGAAAAGGGTCCAGAGGGAAATGAACAGAGAGCCAGCCTCCAGGTAGGCAGAGGCTGGGAGAACCCCAAATCATGAGGGGCAGTTTGGTTCAAAAGGCACTTTGGGTAGCTGTGGGGCCTTAGAGAAGGAGAATTTGGTCCCAGAGAAGGAGAACTATTCTAGACCAAATGCCAGCTGAGTATTAGGGACCAGGATCTCGGAATGTTGTGATGGGCAGGCCTGGCTGAGGGACACCATCCCTCTGTGTCTTCCAGAGATGCCAAATCAGTCATCCTCTCCTTTCAGTTCTCCTGGGGGGCCCCTTTGGCCAAGCTGTGGCTAGCCAGAGGGCTCGAGATGCCCTCTGCCTGGGCCAAGGCTGGCTCCTCCAACAGGCCTTTGAAGTAGGTGCTCAGAGCTTGCAGGTTGAGAGCAGGCTGGGCATGGGGCGATGAGGTGGCCTTCAGGTACCGGCTGTACTTCTTCAAGCCCCCCTGTGGATCTTGGCGGTGTGTGGTCATCAGCTCCATGAAGCTCACGTTGTGGAGGGCCAGGAGGCGGGCCTCGGCCCGGGATAGGACAGCTGCCTGCACCAGAGGCTGCAGGGACCCAAAGCACTGCAGGCTGCTGAAGAAGTAGACATGCTGGGCTAGCTGGGGGCCCGGGGAGACCTCGAGGAGGCGGCACAGGTCGCGCATGGCCAGCACGGCGGCCAGAGCACTGTGCTCGCTCATGTTTCTTGCCAGGTAGGTTTTGGCTAGACTCTTGAGTTTGAAGCTGCTGGCCTGGGGCACACGCTCCTGGATGAGGGGCAGGGTGGCCAGGAAGCCGGAGATGGTCTCCCGGAACTCCCACAGCTTTTTCATGTCCTCCAGGGCCCGGAAGAAGTTGGGGAGGCTGGGCCCCCACAGCTTATAGCAGGCCAGGATGGGGCGGTGCATGGAGCTCAGGAAGCGGAGGAAGTGCTGTAGCCCCACCTCCAGGGAGACAGCCTTGGAGTAGATGCTGAAGGCCTCAGGCTGGATGAGCACCCGGAACTTGCTCTCCTGGTTCACAGCTGCCAGCTGCCTAATCTCCTGGGCTAGGCAGGGGAGAAGGGTAGGGTAAGGCCCCAGGGCCATGGGAGGCATTGGGGAGGACTGGGGGACCTCCAGGGCTGCCAACCCACTAGCCAGAGACTCCACCTTGGGGCCTGCTGCCAGGAACCAAACATTGGCCTCAAAACATTTGCAACTCTGCCCTTGGCTCTGCTGGGGACAGGGGAGTAGGCCTGCTGCCCTCAAACACCCCCTGCTCACTGGCTGGGAGTCCCCCTTCCCGGCCACCTGCTTCTGGGCTCACCAAACCCTTTAGAATCAGGTCCCTCCTATAGCTCTTCTGTCAGCCTCACCCACCTACGCTTGAGACCCCTCACAGTTTCTATCTGGCCTTCTGCTTCCTGCTCTTGGCTTCCAGTACCATCAATCACTTAGCTATAGCTAAGGTTCCCAGCCAGTTGGAGGCTGGGACAGACAGCACACCTGCCCAATCAATCTACTGTACTCAGAGCGTGGCCCAGAGCCTTATGTGAGGTCTGCAAGTGACTTCCCTGTCCTGCAGGAACACCTGCTGCTTCTGGCTGGCTAGGCTAGCCCCAAGCCGAGTCTGTGCCACAAGGCAGGGCCTGGGAGTCGTGGGGCTTCTGGAAGTAGGGGCCTTATCTCTCTGGGCCTATGACTCTGTTGATCTCCCTGTACAGCCTCTTGTGGATTGGGCCTTGTACTCAGAAGCGTGCAGTTGCAGCCCAATGCCTGGCTTGAGTTGCTGTTCTCAAAGCACTGACTTCCTGCATGCTCTGGGTTTCTGTTTAGAAGCATCTTCCCAAGGCTGTCCATGTAAGAGAAGTGCCCGTCAGAGGTGAACTCCTCAGGGCTCTGGACTCATGTTTTCAGGTGCTGGTCAAGGCAGCTGTCCTTATTCAGACAACCAAGTGGTACACCTGGGAGTCCCAGGGGAGATGCAGTTCTCTGTCTGTCTGTCTCTCTTCCTCTCCTCCCCCACCCCCCCAGGTGTGGTCACTGGCCAGAGGTCAGGGCTTTCCTGGGCAATGCAGATAGCTCTGCCTGCCCTTATCTTGGGGACTTAGAGACCAAGCTAGAAAGGGGTAGGGATGGTCATCAGAGAACCCACTTTCGCTGTCAATCTTGAGGTCAAAGAAAACCAGGGGTCTGTCTTCTGACCAGAGGTCTGTGAAGCTGTCA